TAGAGTCCTCGTTGAAATCGCTGAGCTTGATCGTCTTGAGGATGTGGAGTCTTTGCGCTCTACGAGAGCCTCTTGTCAGGCGAAATTGCTGAGATCGCTATTATGGAGGAGATCTCGTGGAGTTAGAAATCTCGGGCTTTGTGGCTTAAAAAAGGGGATCACAATACAAAATTTTTCCACAAGCTTGCCAATGCTTATAGAAGGAGCAATTAGATTGGGTGTATTCGTGTGAATGGTTCGGAGTTGTGGAGAGAGGATGAGGTGTGTGGGGGGATTGCTTCCTTTTATCAGCAGCTTTACACTGAGACGTTGGAGTGGAGGCCTAAGCTTGATGGTCTCTACTTTGATGCCATTTCTGAGTTGGATAGAGACAGGCTTGAGGTTCCATTCTTTGAAGAAGAAGTGCTCAAGGCGTTATCGAGCTGCAATGGTGACAAAGCTCCGGGGCTAGATGGGTTTACTATGCAGTTTCTTATGGAGAGTTGGGAAGTAGTGCGTAGTGAGGTGATGGGCACCTTCCAGGAATTTCACTCTCATGGCATATTTGAGAAGTTGTTAAATGCATCTTTTATTGCCCTTATTCTTAAGAAGGGCGGTGCTTTTGATATTAAGGATTTTCGGCCAATTAGCTTAGTGGGATGCATGTACAAGCTTATTGCCAAGTTTCTTGTTCTTAGGATAAGTAATGTATTGGATGGTATTATTTCGATGTCCCAGAATGCTTTTGTTGGAGGACGGCAAATTTTGGATTCTGTTCTTATAGCAGGGGAATGCATAGATTCCAGGTTGGAAAGTGGGGTCCCTGGCGTCTTATGCAAACTCGACATTGAGAAAGCTTATGATCACATTAATTGGAAGTTTCTCCTTTACTTGCTTAAGAGGATGGGGTTCGGAGTTAGGTGGAGGAAATGGATCGAAGCATGTATTTCATCCGTCATGTTCTCTGTTCTAGTGAACGGATCTCCTGCTGGTTTCTTCGCGATTTCTCGAGGTTTGAGACAAGGGGACCCCTTGTCGTCTTTTCTATTCCTTATAGTCATGAAGGATTTGAGTCGACTAATGAGGAGAGCGGAGGATTTGGGTTATATCAGGGGATTCAAGGTCGGCAGAGATGTAGCTCATCAGATGGAGATTTCCCATCTGTTGTTTACAGATGATACCTTGGTTTTTTGTGATGCCGATATCTCTCAACTTAGATATTTGAGGTGTATTCTTGTTTATTTCCAGGCGGTTTCTGGGTTAAAGATCAATGTTGGAAAGAGAGTGCTTGTCGGATGTTCCAAATATTTCCTCCTTAGCTGCAGTTCTTGGATGTGGGGTGGGTGCTTTTCCTCCTCCTTATTTGGGATTGCCTTTGGGGGTTTCCTCTAGGAGAGTGGGGAATTGGGATCCGGTGATTAATAGGTATGAGAAGAGGTTGGCAGAATGGAAGAAACAATATCTGTCGGGAGGGGGGAGGGGGGAAGGTCACTCTAATATTTATCTTTGTTTCAAATTCCATGCTTTGTCGCTGAAAGGATTGAAAAAATCCAAAGGGACTTTCTATGGGGTGGAAGGTGAGAGGAGTTCAAGTATCGTCTTGTTAACTGGGAGCAAGTTTGCAAACCCTTGAAGTTAGGCGTTTTAGGCATCCGAAAGCTGGTTCCTTTTAATAGAGCTTTATTTTTTATTTTTGATAAGTAAATTTATTTAAGAAAGAAAAGCGTTCAACAGGGGAACGCATCCCACATACAGAAACAGAAAAGACACAAACAAGGGCCCTAAGGCGCCAGAGAAGACAGAAAATCGATCAAATTCTCAGGAAGACAACAAGATCTACCCGAGCCCCCAAAAGAAAGAAAGTAAATAGCAGAGCTTTATTGGGGAAGTGGTTATGGAGATTCGGCAAGGTAAGGCATCGCTAGTGGAAAAGGATTGTCTTGTGTCGCTTTGGGGAGGAGAGTGGAGGCTGGTCCTCTCGTCCAGTCGCTGTTGGGGGAGGCGTCGGCGTGTGGAAATTCATTAAGGAGGGTTGGGATGTCTTTTCCTCACACATCAGATTTAAGGTTCGTGATGGTAGGCGTGTCTGCTTTTGGGAGGATTTATGGTGTGGAGAGCAGTTGTTGTCTCATTCCTTTCCTAGACTTTATAGTATTGCCGAGAATAGGCACGCCTGCGTAGCTGATTGTTTTCGGCTTGATAGCAGTGGAGTTACGTGGGATGTGCGCTTTAGGCGTTCTTTCTAGGATTGGGAGATAGACGAGGTATGTGTTTTTTTGGATTTGTTGTATCAGCAGAAGGATGTTGGTAGATGTAATGATGACATTTTGCGGGTCCCTTCCACCCATGGTAGATTTGGTGTTCGGTCCATGTTCATTTGTCTGTCCAATTTCGTTGGTCATGATGTCCCATGGAGGATTATATGGCGTTCTAAGGATCCACTTTGCATTCTTTGTTTGGACTGTCGTTTGGGGTAAGATGTTGACGTTGGATAATTTAAGGAAAAGAGGAAACACTATTGTTAATTGGTGTTGTCTATGTAAAACAAATGGTGAGTCTGTGGATCACATTCTTTTGCATTGTCCTGTGGCGTATGATTGTTGAAACCTGATATTTGGCATTTTTGGCGTCCATTGGGTAATGCCTCAATCCTCCATAGGATTGATTAATGCATGGAGAAAATGCCCAGTGAAAAGCCATGCTCATGACTATTGGAGGATAGTTCCACATTGTGTTTGGTGGTGTATATGGAGAGCGAGGAATAGCAAAAATTTTGAAGGAAAGGAAAATTTTGTGGCGATATTGAACACGCATATTCTTCGTTCTATTTTCTGTTATGTGAAAGGAAGCAATTGCTCCTCGACTAATGACTTAGTTGATCTTTTGGACTCTATTGGTCCTTAGGTTCCACTTTTGTTTTTGTATTAGGGATGCGCTCTCTTTTTGAACGCTTTTCTAATTGATTTTTACTTATTAAAAAAAAAAAGAAAAAAAGAAAAAAAAAGTGTGATTGCTGGCAACAACTGATTTTAGGTTTCAACAAAGCTCAATGCTACATAGACCTAAAATGGATTGATAAAAATTCCTTGAAGGGCAGTTTTGCTTAGTTTTTATTTTTTTTCTTTCTAAGATCTCATGTAGCCATTGTCAGTTTGTGTAATAAAGTTGGGTTTTGTGGACAGAAGTCTAGAGGGTAAGTTGCCTAAAGCTAATGTATTTTTTCTTTCAATTAAGGTAATTTAAATGAATTGATATCTTTAAATGAAGCTATCATAGGGCTACATTCTACCATAAACACAAGTTTGATACTTTAAATCTTAATTGAGAGAGATGATTTCAAACCATTCAAGTTACCTTAATTGAGAGAGAACAAGCTTAACTTAATTGAGAGATAACAAAGTTTAAACAAAATTGAGAATAAATTTGGAAAAGGAGAAATAATTGGAAAATTAAATGTTGATAAAGTGATTTCTGAATGCCTTAGCACTAATCACAATTATATAGACACCTTAGACTATCACAATAGTTTTAATGTTTAAGGTTACAGGTTTTTATTTGGAATTGATTTTGGGTTATCCTGGAATGCCTTACAGTTAATCCAATACATATTCATTCGATGAGTTATAGAAAATAAACTTGGAATCAAATTTTAGTTTCTAGGAATAACTACTAATTTGTTGGTGTTATGGTCAAACACAAGCCAGAGCAAGCTTTCCTGATTGTACCCCTCCCCTTCCATTCTTAGATCAAGGACCCTATTTTACTAGATTCTATTATATTCTACCTTTAAATCCTTAGTATTTTTTGCTCTATCGTTATTTTATTTGCTAGTGATTGTAGTGTTTCTTCCCGATTTAAGTGATTTTATTGGTTTTGATTTGACATTGGGGAGGAAAAAGACGAGGTGATGATGAAATTCATTGGTCTTTCAATCCACTGACATATATGTGATGTTAATAATGAATCCCGACTGGTTCTGATTGTCTTTTTCTTCCCACACCCAAAAAAACCTACAAATTATCACACACTAACTCACATCTTTATATATATATATATATATATATATGTATGTATGTATGTACTTAATATGCATGAGTATGTTTATGTTCTTATTTTATTAGTAATGGGCATGTGATGAATCTCATAACAAATGGGTAATTTGCGTCTTAATGTTTCAGTGATGCTAAATCACCTTGGAGAACTGATGCATCCTTTTATTGCGTGTTTAGCTTCTTTTTGGACAGTGTGTGATGGCAACAACTTTTTTTTTTTTAGATTTTAATAATATGAATGTGAATGGTAACTTATCAAAAAAAAAAAAAAAGAATGTGAATTGGGTTATTATAGTAAAAGCAAAATTTGAATTTTAGGAGTTTAAAATGAATTTAATCTTTTACATTATGTTGCCAATTGTCATAGGTATGCTATTTTTTTCCCATGTACATTAGTGACAAATTTAGCTATTTGAAAAATGTATGGACTAAGTAAAATATATTATTGTAAACATTTTTGTGATTTTGGTTTAATTAATTGGGTGGTTCTGAATTAACAATGCTTGATACCCATGTGAGGTATTTGTTTTGGACCTAACATGAAGTACTTTCAAGGGTTTTTGAATTTTTTGCCTTTGGAACATTTAATTGTGCAATGGTGGAACACTTTAAGTCTTAAACTTCTCTATCTTGACATTGGTTGCAATAAGGTGGCATTGTATTATTTAACTCTTTTTATTTACTCCCTGCGTCCCAAAATAGTTGGGTACTTTACTCACAATGAGTCACAGTTCCCAAAGTACCCAACTATCTTGGGATAGAGGGAGTACTACGTATGGGGATGTGCATATTCTAAATTTAATCATTAATGATCTCAGTTCTTGTTTCACTTCCTTGAAGATAAGGTTTGCTTAATTTTTTTTCAGTCATCTTCTGATGTATAACATTGTAGCTTAAGTTGTAACAATGTTGTTTCTAAGATCTCATTTAACCAAGTTTACTTTATGTAATAATGTTGTTTTTTTTCAGGTCGTTCTGATTAGGATTGATAAGTGTTAATTACTGGATCTGACTCTCTTATGTTGCCGGAGAGGATCTCAAAAATTATTTGTACTTGGGGTAAGTTGCCTAATGCCAATATCTGATGCATCATTTGGTGTTGTGTGTTGGTTAAGTTGTTTGATGTGTTTAAATAAATGAAGTGATTATTTTTTTCTCAGTAAACAATTTAAATGAATTGATTTTTTTAGATTCCCTCTCAATTATGACCATATCAAAATTTTGTGCAACCACATTCTGCCATAACGTAAGTTACTGCTTTGGTACTTTATATCTTATGTATCGGTTGGGTAATTTAGATCTTAATTTAAAGAGACGAAGATTTGAAATCTTCTAAGTTGCTTTAATTGAGTATTTTATAGAAGCCTAAACAAAATAGCCCTGATTATAAAGCAGGAAAAAAGATAAAAAGTCACAAAAATAAATGTCTGATGGATTTGGATCCCTTCCTAGATCCTTTTAGAAGACATTGTGTTTAGGTTTTATAAAACCCTAAATGCATTCCACAAGAGAATTTCTCTCTTTGAAATTATTCATTCAAGTCTTCCACAAAATTCTGTGTCTAAATCTCTCACAAGGCAAGTTTAAGCTTTAGAAATCTCTACAATAGGAAGAAGTGAGCAAGTAGATCAGGGAAAGGAGGAGAACACAGAGCTTGAGAGCTGAAGGAGATGCACTCTCGAAAGTTTTTTTGAAAAGGATTTTCATCTCTGCATCAAGAGTTTTCATTCTTCCCAAAACATCAAATACTCATTTCATTACAAATGACATATTTGGACATTGAAGATTGGTGGAGCAATAATGTGGTGTAAGGAAGAGGAGATCTAGCAAGCAAGGGTTTGGAGTTTCTACGATCTAAGAGCATCGCAAGCCTTTTTGGCCGATGGCTTGCACTATAAAGAATTAAATCCCTTGGGTTGGGCTTCTCCACTTGGTGGAGTCCACACCAAATTCCATGCTCCACTTGTGGAGTAGTGCCCTTGATATTTGACCAGGCCTAAAGTGGGTCCTTGTCCTTGTGTATCTTTTTTTTTTTTTTAAGTGATGGGGTCTGAGTCAAGTAATAAAAAGTGTGGAGCCAAAAAATAATAAAATAATAAAGTGGATAGTGGGAGAGAAGAGTGCACACCAATAGGATGGACTGTCCAATAAAACTGTAGAGCCACGTTAGCAATTGTGGCTCTACACTTTTAAAAAAAGTGTAGAGCCACAATTGCTTCCTTCCACGTAAGATGCCGTAAAAGTGAGATTGAAGATTGGAAGAAAGTAGTGGTCTTTGTGTATCACATCATTTTATTTATGAGATTTCTAAGCCTAAATTCGTGGGAAATCTGGAAATATAAAATGTGTAGGATTAGAGTGTATATCTCTATGTAAACTCTTGGAGAAGATGTTTTAGGGTTTAGAGCATCCAGTGTGCAAAAATTGGCTGGTGTTCTCTCCCGCTCTCCACTTTATTATTTTATTGTTTTTTTTTTTTTTTTTTTGCTACACACACCATCACTTTTCTTTTTTAAAAAACAAAAAATATACAAAATGGCTCACTTTGAGTCCTTGGTGAGGCGCTATACCCCACTTCACTTGTGGAGTGTGGAGTGTGGAATTTGTTGTGGGCTCCACCAAATGGAGAAGCCCACACCAAGTGCAAGCCATTGACCAAAACACTCTCTAGACCCAATAAACAAATTCCAATCAGGGATTTCGTAGCGTTTTAAAGTGTAAATTTGTTTAAATATAAAATAATTCATTATAAGAAAGGCATTACTTAATAATTCTCAAATGGTTACTTTTTAGCATTTAAGTATTAAATTTGGGAATTATTCATTTTGCCGGTACTTCATAGTTTAGAATAATTTTATTTAGATTTGAATACTTATATCTAATTTTTCTTTAATCTTTTTTAGAGATTCGCCCAAATCTAGATTGAGCAGTAGATAGAGGTCAATATCTGCAAGTACTTGCCTCTTGTAATGGGTACCGTTGGCTGGTCATGATTGAGCCAATCATTCTATTTTTATGTTTTACATGTGTTTTGAGTCCTAGTCAGTTGTGGTATTTTGAATGGGATGGCTATTTTTATATGTCTTGTTTGGAATTGTTTTTGGCTTATCCTGTGGAGTGAAAATGAAATGGAAAAAGAATTGAACAACCATCAAACGGAACTACTTTATGATCATCTTACTTCCTAGAGTAATTTGATGATCAAAAGGATTTCCAATCATTTTTCTAGGTTTTGGGGTTTTGGCTTTGCTCGCTGGGCCATTGCCCAGTGAGCGGATCCCACTCGCTGAACAAATGCCCAGTGCTCACTTGTCATTTGCCCAACAAGTGAGGTCCACTAAATGGGCAAAGGGCCAGTGAGCGCCATGCAAGCTGCACTTGCCCAACTTGCTTTGCAATTTAAAATAGATATATTAATAAATAGAATATAAAAGATGAAAATGAATATAATAAATAGGTGACCTTATGCCACGTGCACGGGTTCCTAACGACACAGTAGTTGATTGAAAGACACAATATCATCTTGCATGCTATTTTAGAAAGTTGTTTACAATCTTACCTTATGGATCTGGTATAAATAAATAGGCTTGTGCAGAACTGGAATTTTCACCAGTAAAGAAATAGAAGGAAGATTTTCTGAGATAGTTATTCCAATGTTGTATTTGACAGACATGATGTGCTGTGAAGATCTAATTTTCGTGTTCCAAAGATAGTGTCTCTCATGAAACTGTCTGTGATGGCACACAATCCTCTAAGAAGTTCCGAGCACAAAACTCATCTATTTTTATTCTAATCTAGTTTTAAATTCTCTTGTTTTTTTTGCTAGTGATTTTAGCATTTTCTTCTGAATACAAACCTTTTTGTGATTAGTTTTTTGATCTGAAATTTGGGAGGAGAAAGACGAGGTGACGAAGAAATTCATTGGTCTGTCAATCCACCGACTTTGTGTGATGTTAATCACGAATCCTGACAGGTTCTATATATATGTGTGTATGTATCTATATGCAAGTATGTTTATGTTCTTATTTTCTTTTTCATGGGCATGTGATGAATCTCATAACAAATGGGTAATTTGCATCTGAATGTTTCTGTGATGCTAAATCACCTCGGAGAACTGATGCCCATTTTTTAAAAAATTTTTATTATAATTTTTTTTTTTACTAATTGTACTAATAAGAAAAATGTTGCTTTTGCCAATTTAGCTTCTTTTTAGAAAATGTGATTGCTGGGAACAACTGATTTAGGTTTCAACATAGCTCAATGCTACATAGACTTAAAACTTCAACCTAGAATGGATTGATAAAAATTCCTTGAAGGACAGTTTTGCTTAGTTCTTTCTTTTCTTTTCTTTTCTTTTTTTTTTTTCTTTTTTTTTTTTTTTTTTTTGTTTCGTTTCTTTCTAAGATCTCATGTAATCAATGTCAGTTTGTGTAATAAAGTTGGGTTTTATGGACAGAATTCTAGAGGATAAGTTGCCTAAAGCCAATGTATTTTTTCTTTCAATGATGGTAATTTAAATGAATTGATATCTTTAAATGAAGCTACAATAGGTACATTCAGTCTTAAACACAAGTTTGATACTTAATCTTAATTGAGAGAGAAGATTTCAAACCATTCAAGTTACCTTAATTTAGAGATAACAAAGTTTTAACAAAATTGAGACTGTAAATTTGGAAAAAGAAAAATAGTTGGAAAATTAAATGTTGAGAAAGTGATTATTAAATGCCTTAGTAATCACAATTATATAGACACCTTAGACTATCACAATTGTTTTAATGTTTAAGGTTACAAGTTTTTAGGAATTGATTTTGGGTTATCCTGGAATGCGTGCCATATAGTTGATCCAATTCATTTTCATTCAATGGGTTAATAGAAAAAAAAACTTGGAAATAAATTTTATTTTCTTGGAATAACTACTAATTTGTTGGTGTTATAGGCAAACACAAGCCAGGGCAAGCTATCCTGATTGTACCCCTCCCCTTCCATTCTTAGATCAAGGACCCTCCCAACCCTTCGATTGTTAGGTCAAGGTAGGATCCTCCCAACCCAATGGTGTTTTCAATTTTGTTTTGGATAATTGCAAGAGGTGATTAGTAAATAGAATGCTAACCTACATTAAGTATTACAATATTATTGTAATTGTACTTTAGAATTCAAAATTTTCAAGGAGGTCATATTTTACTAAATAATTATATTATTTAGGGATGTGATTATTCTTGACAACATTGGTGTTCTTGTTTTACATGGTAATAAGATCAGCTATTTCTTCAAGATAGCTCTTAGTGGTCCTTCTTTCTAACTATCTTTTCGAGAAGGAAGGGTCTCTAGGAGTTATCTTGAAGAGATAGCGGATAAGGGTTAGTATTCTATTTCCTTCTACTTCATCTTTTCTACTGAGTTTCTTCCTGGTAGGAAGATCTTTTTATAAGAAGATGATGTAGAAGGAACGCTTTCTGACAAAACTTAAAGAGCACTGGTAGCCACTGTAGGCAAAGGAATAAACACAATTAAATGCCAATTTAGAAACAGAATTGCAGCCACAGGAAAGATTGACAGATGTGAGTTTGTTGTGCTCCTAAATGATATGTTGGATGTTTGTTTACAATTTTAAATGAATCTTGGAAGTTATACCAAAAAAAGGAAAAATAAAAAAAAAACTATTGGAATTTTCACCAATAAAGAAAGTACACCAGAAAGCCAGAAGATTTCCTGAGATAGTTATTCCATGTCGGATTTGCTAAACTGGAAGTATATTAGTCCATGCTGAATGTCAAGTTGAAGTAGGAACAATCTCTATCAAGTTGAGCTAGTATGGTAGATTAAAATTATTTGATAGTCATGCATATTTAATTTTCATATGATCCACTAGGCTTTTACCATCAAGTTTGGTACTTATCACCAGTCTCATATAGTCCTCACTGCTCAATGTCTTATAATTTGCTCCATTCTCCTTCATGAGATCTGGCAAAGGACCAACCACAGCCCTAAGGTTTGGACTGTGAAATGCAGCAATGGAAAGGCGCTCTTTCTCCGAGTTCACAACGGCTCTGTGCTCAATGCTACTGTATTCTCCATTGCTCATTATCTGCACTCAAAGAAGGTAAAAGTGTTCAATATCACAAAATCTTCAATGAAAAAGATGAACAATAGCAACCCTTTGCTTGCTTGTTAAGTGTTGTTGTATTATGGTCTAATTACCTCCATAACATCACCAATGTTGATGATAATTGCACCGGGAATAGGTTTAACAGGTACCCACTTACAGTTTTTCTTGATCTGAAGCCCTTGCACATCATTGACTTGAACCAGCAAGGTCAGTCCGGTTGCATCCGAATGTGGAGTGAGACCCATGACATTATCTGCAAGCACACAAGGTGGATAGTAGTTCATTCTTATCCCTTGTGTGCAATCCTCAAACATGCTCGTGAGTTTCTCAGGGTCAATCCCAAGGTTTTTAGCCATCAACATGAAAAGGCTGATTGATACTTTGTGCAGCTCTGATGAGTACTTCTCCAAGGTTGATCTGATACATATATACATACATTTTGTTACAAAATTTCATTTTATTTATATTCACTTGATCAAAAATTTTGTTTTAAAATGTTTTGTTTACCTGAAAGAAGTGGGAGTTTTAGGCCAGAGGCTCATGTTTCTCTGGGTGATTGGTAGGGGTAAAAGGAAGAGCATGTCACCCCAGTCAAGCTTTTGATCTTCAGACACAACAAAGGCTTGGCCATAACCTTCAATACTATTTGGTGGCTGTGCATATGCTACCTTCTCCTCTAATGGCAGCTTAAAGAACTCCTCGGTGACCACTTTCATTTTCTCAATTGCCTCTGATACTCCATGATTGATCAACTGTTTTGCCAACACAGTTATGTTAGAATTTAGCCCTTTATTGAAGCATGATTATACATATTATGTACTATATTCTTTATTGAAGATGGTTTTGTAAAACTAATTGGAATATTGTTAAGTGGACCAAATGTTTGGAAGATCAAAAGGGTAAAGATGACAACCTAAATGTTACACTTACTATAATGTAATGGTGTAACTAATTTTTTTTTTAATTTTTTAAATTTATTATTATTATTATTATTATTTTTCCTAATATTTGGGAGCATCGAATCGGTGCCTTGGACTTGTGATTGAAGAAAGTTTAATTTAAAATTTGTACTAAATTTTCTCTAATTCCAAATTTGGTGCCACCAAACATATATATATATATATATATATATATATATATATCTTAATCAGTTAATTAGATATTCTATTCAATATGTTAAAGAGGCAAACAATCATGTTAACATTTATATATGTATTAACATGATTGGACTGATTAAGAAGCATGGGGCTATAATGGGTTGTGAACAAAAGTGTAATATACCTGAAAGAAACCCGAGTCTTTACATGCATGATGAAGTTTTGATAATTCATCAGTGTCACCGGGAAGTTTGCTCATGTCGATGACCGGGATTCGTAAAGACTCATCAACGGAAATTATATCAAGCTCAACCTCCGGCCGAATATACCGGTTGGGAATGTCCTTGGGCTTCTTGGAAGCTAGTGTTTGCACATTATCAACAGGGAGTGAACCACCAAAGTCCCTTATACCCACCTCAGTCTCCATTGCTCTATACTTGTCACACTTCCTATTGCTTATATTGAGATGATCAATTTTTATTTATTTTTTATTTTTTGTATTTTTGGATGGATTAAAATGCATTGGAATTCACATATTCTTGCCGACTACTAATTTTTTATTTTTGTTTTCAATTTTTTATTTTATTTTAAAAAAAACTAGTAAAACAATGACTAATAGCCGTCTAGTTTTGGAAGCTTTTGAGCAAGTATCAAATTGCACAAGATTCTTCTTTCCTATGAACTCTCTCATTCCTGTTTTAAGCAATGATTTTAACCTCTCCTCTCTCCAAGTAGAGGTGAGAGGTTCGAGTCTTGCTAAATGAGTATTGCTTGACATAAAAGCGGATTTGTTTTTACGAGGTTATGAAATGATAAAGGATAAAATAAGCTCGGCCTAATTAGATTCCATCACATATTGTTTGACGTAAAACAGATAGTAGATTTATTTTTACGAGTTTGCTAAATGATAAATGATAAGATAAGTTCGGCCTAATTAGGTTCCTAGGCATTCAGAATGACAACGGCGCTATCAAGGGCGGATCCAAGGGTGGGCGAAGCAGGGCTTCAGCTCACCCCAAAAAAAAAAAAATTTTTTTTTACCATACTACTTTAAGCCCAGTCCAAAAAAAATAAAAATAAAAATAAAAATAAATAAATAAATAAAAAATAGTAATGGTAATCCAATCCAAAGTTAGCCAATCCAAAATTAGCCTACCTCATTCAAAAAGACTGGATCCGCCCTTGGCGCCATCCCCGTCCCCGTCCGGTTTGACAAAGTAAAGTTAGTAAGTCTAAAAAAGTTTATTTACATACTAGCTTGTAACTTGTAAAAAAGGTTAATTTGCTAGTCCAAGTACAACATTTTGAAATGCATATAAATAGTTCTTCTAGTTCACTGCCTAGGTGTTTACAAACCTGCAATCTCTCCTGATCTCTCCCTCTTCTCCAGTGAGTACATTGATGTTCCCCATCTTGACCATTGAATCCACAAATGCAGCAAAGAAAAGTTCTTGATTAAAGGCATAAGTCCACACATATTTTTTTATCTCCCCTTCAAAATCTTCATTGACCAACACATTATCGGATATTAACAATCCTTCTCCTCGAATAATATTGTGGAAGTAGTGGTTGTCGAACCTCGCCGGAGTCATTAGATCAAGCGGTGCCAGTTCACTGTCTCTCCCTGATTTCGGACATATGGACCGTAGGATTCTTCTGAATTCTGTGTTTCTCTTGCGATGGTACAAGTGTTCTTCAGTGTTCTGGTCATAGACTCTTTGCCTGAAGCTTAAGCATCTTGCCTCTCCCATTGTGTGACTACCTATAGACAAACCCATGAAGATTACATTGTGAAGGAAAATAGAAAGAAAAGAGAGGATAAAATTTTCCATAAATAAAACTATTAGGGGTTATTTTGGTTTTATCCGGTCATGCTTTAGTGTTAAAGAGGTCTTTTGTTACCAGGGGTATTTGCCTCCCACGTTGAATTCGGATGGAAAGTAAAAGGGGTATAAATGAGTGGGAATATAATATTACCCAATACCCACTCGTTACAGTTACTATCAGAGTCAGACCCAATTCTTGATCCGGTGTCACAGCAAGCGCCAGGCTCGGAGGTGTCCGAGTGTGCCATCCGAGTAGGTAGGGTGACCCGATCGCGCAACGAGGGCTGTTCGAGTTTGGGTGGGGGAGAATGTTACAAGGGTATTTGATCTCGCATCGGATCTGAATGAAAAGTGAAAAGGTATAAATGGGTGGGTATGTAACACTTCCTAATACCATAAGTTTTTGGGTAAATAGGCAAGCGTTCACCTGTTACATCTTTCCACTAGGATGTTAAACCGTGGGTTAGTTTAATCATGCGACAAACCTCCGTAGGTATAAGTTTCTGTCCCGAGGGTCAATCTAATTTATTAGACTCACATATTTCTATATTTGCACATTTGAGTAATGTGGATGTTCAGAAAATTACCTGATAAAGCAACCAAGTCTTTGATGTCAAGACCCTGTTGTCGAAAATTGGCAATGAGAGTCTCTAAAGAGGAATTTGGAGCAGGTATGTATTGGTTGGAACCATTGAAGCTTGCTTTTAAAGAGTCTCTCCTGCCCAAATATACATTCCATCTGGGACCACCTCTCTGTTATTTTAAAAAAAAAAAAATCAGCAAAGATTGCTAAAAAGTATGACAGAATATCTAACCTATATTGACGAAATGGCATCACGTGACACACACATAAATATATTTATCAGTCACTTTTCATTTATGTTGATTAAATGATCTATTTCAATACATATTAAGGAGGCTGCATCAAGTTAGACTCACATAAGTTACTTATTATTATTATTATTATTATTTTATTTATTTATTATTTTTTTTTTTTTGCGTTGTTTAATCTGCCTATTTTGTGCTCAAGTAGCATAACTCTATATATAATATACATGCATTTGTGTGTATATATGAATATTTATAAACAAGACCTTGTCAAATAATCTGGTTCTAGCCCGGTGCAATATTTGTGAAAAAAGAGCATTAACCCCCCTTTTATGGTTCAACTTTTATTTTATTTTATTTTATTCCTAGATTTGTTGCATTGGTAAAATTTCGTTACGTAGGCTCCGTTTGTTTCGAAATAAAATTTTTTTTTTCAAAGTAAAATATTCTTTTATTTTTACTTTTTCGGTATTTGGCAAAGGTCTAGGTTGAGGTTGAATTCATCGAGTAAGGTATGTAAAATAACTTGTTGAAAATTGATGGATAAGTTATTTTTATTAAATTTTAATATTTTTTTTCTTCATAAATATTTTACAACAACCAAACACTAAAAAATAAAAAAATATTTTGTAAAAAATATTTTACGTCCAAACAAACGGATTCTACATGTGACAAACTCAATTTTCACTTTGCAAGGCTGATCATTTATTATCAATAAGTAGGTTTGTTTTTAGACACAAATTATAGCACTAGTAAGTACAAAATCTTCATGCTTGTCTTCCCTCACGAGAAAAACTAGCAATTAATTATCTCCAAGGCAATAAAAAATATATGCTCGTTAATTAGGTGAAAGTCAACAATACCCCCGAGTCTCTCGGTCGTTGGATCATCTATCAGGTGAGTTCTACTATAAGATATCCTGAGGTTCCCAATCGTTAGATATGGTTGTACCTAGTGGTGGAACCCATCTGATAGATGATCCAACGGTTAAGAGGCCCCTGGAGTATGATATCCCGAGATATTATAGATTTTTTCTCTTATTAGAGGAATAATGATTTAAGAACCAAATTTCATAATTACTGAATTCAATTTATGTGAGTAGAGTGGTGTAACTGATTATATTATGTGATCATAACGTCATGTGATGAGACCCACCATCTATCTCACATAAGCTTAATTCCACAGTTGCCTTCCCTAAATCACTCTTATTAGAGAGATCAAGCTTGTGTGTTTTATTTGCACAACCAAATCCAAATTTAAAACAAGAGAGATGTACCGAAGCAACAGCGTCACGAGCAGCAAGGGCTAAAATATCAGCACATGAAACAGTGTATGGACATGCCTCCTCCAAAATGTACTTGATCTCATCAATCACCTCAAATCCTCTTAGAGAGTCAATATTAGGCCCAGCTTGTTTTTCACTTACTATGCCCCCATAGCTGTCCAGTAAAACTGATGCATCACATCCCTGATAAATCATATCAAAATTCATTATTCGTTTTCTACAAGAAATTAAACATACACGTGAGAGATTTGACTCTCTATATCTATAAATGTAGAGAGCCATGTCAGCCCATTTATATTTTTGGCCAATCTAGCGAATCCCCTTTATGGTTCTAGCCAAAGGAAGAGAGGGATTTTGGAGAAATAATATTTCATGGGAAAATATATAGGGGATTGCCGATCGGACACTGTCACCTCAAAATTTTTAGGTGTAGAAAGTTTGAATCCTTGGGACAGAAATTTTCTCCCATGTGGGACCCTGCCGATGGTGTTTTAAGGGTGCTCTAAGAGCTCCTATAGCACCATCTTTGACAAATATATATATATCTCTGACACCACCATCTTTGACATATATATATATATATATATAGAGAGAGAGAGAGAGGGCTAGAGTTCACCGTGACAAAACAATCGTGAAAATGCAAGCGAAGGAGTGAGGCAGCCATCCGAGGATCTCTGAACACCGCAACTTGGACTTGGCGTAGCACAATCTTTTCCAGCAAGGGGCATGTTTGTTTGTAGTAACCCAGAACCAGAGGTAGTCCATCATCATCATAGCTCAAGCTTCTCACGCCATGGAAGATCAAAACTACTAGCACTGTAATGAAGATTGATACTCTTCCTGTAAAAGCCATTACTGAAAATAGGTTCACGTAAAGAACATTGCTAAGATTGAGTTCAATGGCAAGGGAATGAGCTAGCTAGCAACCTAGCTAGCACTTATATATATATATGTATATATATATATACATAAATATATATAGTTTGGACAAAGAGATGGGTTTTATTTTCTAATGATTATGATGTCTGAATCTTTTCGTTTTTTCAAACCAACTTTATCTTAAAGACATTCATTCCTTTAATCTGGGCCCTAATCAAAAGTAGATGCAACCAACTGAGACTAATTTGTGTTTAATTGCTTAGTTTAGAATGCATATATAAGAAGACATAAATTATATCTCATATACAAACTTCCAAATAAATTGTCAGCTGGGACCAAGAGAATGTATTCTAGGTAACTCTTTCAATTCAGCCACCTATTTCATAGTTAGTCAATACACAAAACATATATACATACAATGGTCAAATGGGTCCAAATCCAAATAACTACTTAAAAGAAAAGAACTTGTTTTATTTCTTTATCTTAATTTCCAAAATCTCTTCTATTTCCATTCAACAATATAAAAAGTGAGGAAACAACTTCCCATTTTTAGAAATGTCGCTAAAAATTGATGGGTCGTCAAGTTTATATATATATATATTATATAAATATTTTATAACAACTAAACATTAAAAAAAAAATTTATTTTTTTAAAAATAATTTACATCTAAATAAACGGAGCTTAGTATTGGATAGATATTACAAAAATGATTGAATTTGGGTTGGGCCGGGTCGGGTCAAAATAAAAGCAGGGAGAGGTATCATGCTTCTCAGCTAGCAATCCAATCCAAAAAATGACTTGACAAAAAAATAAAGTTAACTAAATAAGGAATAAAGAAAACAGAAATCCACTAGAAGCAAGATAAAATAAACAAATAAACGATGGTAGATACTGAAATTGCCTTGGTTGTGTTGATATTATACATATTGATTAGGATAACTTGTATTGACTTGTATTCAATGTTGCTTTTGTTGAAATATCAAATAATCATATTTTGAGAGGACTTTAACAAAAATTAAAAAATTAAAAAAAATCCCCAGTCTCACAATTAACCACTAATACTTGCTTTCCTTCTATCATTTTGCTCTCATTCCTTGTGGGAAAAACAAAAAGTATGAATAAATTATGTAATTAGGCATGACTGGCTTATATAAATATTGCAAATTGCATATTAGCATATACTTTTGACAGAAGAGATCTAAGCTAGGGACACTTCAAGATAACTTATAGCCAACCAATATACTGAAATTGGAGGAAACAGAATAAAAACGAAATTATATATTGTTTGGTTACTTTTTTGAAAATCAAAATTCAAAAAGTAATTTTTTTAAAAACGTATTTTCAAAAAGTAGTTATCATAAAAGAATTTTAAAAAAACTGCAACAAATATAATTTTACGAAAAAATTGTTGATACAATTTTAAGAATAATTTTTTGATTTCAGATTTTTCTATTTTCATGAACCGAAAATTAAAAAATTGTACAAAAACATTTTTTTTCCTATATAGTTTGATTTTCTCTTATTCGGTCATGGATAGAAGAGTAAAGTTTAATCTAAGTCGCATAAAGTGGAGCAAAAACGAGAGCAAAAAGGGCAAAATTAAGTCACAAATAGTCGGAACGGGAGCGAGAGCGTGCTCGAAACACAAGCGACACCCGTTGAGAAAAATTATGTGACTTATGCTCCGTTTGGTACGAAGGAAGGAAGAGGGGTGGATGGAAGATAGGAAAGAAGAAACAAATTTCCTTAGTTTGGTAGAGAGGAGAGAAAAGAGGATGGATGAGTCATCCTTCATACTTTATAAATTTTTATTCCTCCAAATATGAGCGGATGACACGAAGAAAGAAAAGTAAGACTATTATAAATGTTTTAAAATTACAAAGTTTTCCTTACATATAATTAACACTTTTTTTTTTCTTCTCTCATAATAAACAAAATAAAGTATTGTCGATCATATTATTCTCTTCTATCCAACTAAACAAAAAGAGGAAAGAAAGAGTCTAATATAGAGACGTTTCATTTATCTCTCCTCTCTTCGTTCCATCCAAATTTCTTCTATCCTATCAAATGGAAGGGTCTAGAGTTCAAATTTTGAAGTAAGGAGATCAAACGTATTACTGTAGTTTCTTTTGTCAGCACCAATATTTGATATCTTACGTCTGCATTCACTGCATTATGTAAACTCAATTACTTGAGTGGTTCAAGCTTAGCATTTGCTTCTCTGTATGTCAATTTTAACAAAAAGAAACTATAGTAATACGCTTGTAGCAAAAAGAAACTATAGTAATACGCTTGTAGCAAAAAGAAACTACAGTAATACGCTTGTAACTATTAACAGAAAGAAGGGTGAAAATTCAAGAAGGCATTTCAATTTCATGTTTGTAGCCAATATGAGACATAATCACCGGAATCATTAGAAATAGTCGGGTGAGAAAACCATTGCCAGTGTCGAGAGATAATCAACGGAATCGTGAGAAACTAGGCAGCGTGAGCAGAACGTTGACGTCTTCAAGAGAGAATCGCCGAAATTAAACAAAAAAGCATTGCCAAAGTTGGTGACCGGGTGTTCTCCCAAATTTGTGGTTGTGGATGGTCATCCGTCCCAAGTGAATGCCGCCGGTGGATGTGAGCGTTGATGCTATCGTCGGAAAAAACTTAGAAGTGAAGATTAAAAGAAATCGCCGAAGAAGACAAGAGCAGAAACCTAGAAGATACATTCGTGAATGGGCATCAAAGGCAAGGGTTTTACTTGGGACATAATTGGAATAAACATTTGTTTACTCATAAAATAAAGGGCACGATGGGAATTATAAAAGTTTCATTAAAATAAGAAAAGGCTTGTCACCCACTTAGAACACTATACATACATGGTATGTTTTTTGAAGTTACCGAAACATGAATTTTTCCAAGTTTTAAACCTTTCCTCATAAATTTGTCCTTTGGGAATTAGTACCGAACTTCTTCTACCTGTTCAAGAACCTGTGCTTCAAAGAATTGCATTCTGTCCTTTGGGAACCGGTTCCACTTCGTGGCTATTGGTTCCACATGCTGATACAATTTAGGTAATTTGTTACCTTTTCTGTCTAAATTTCCTATTTGATATAGAATTCTTTCTAAAAATTCTATGCACGAAAATTACCTTTCCTATGCATATCTAGGTCTTTGAAAATTCTATATAAACCTTGATTTTCATCTAGGTTGATACGGCTTTTGCATTACATCTTCTAATTATTAAAAAGCCTATTTGAGAGATATTTTCTAGAAAATCAAAACTGATTTTTATGTCTTTCTTTCTAGAACACAAACATAAATACAAGAGTGATTTTAAGGTGTTGTTCAATTCTTAATCTTGTTCAAAGTCTATTGAATATTGCATCTACAACAATTGGAGAAATCATATCTATTTCTTCTACATCAAAATCAGATCTTGAAGAACAATGGTGAAGCGATCACACTTTGAAAGGTCAAAGCATTCGAGGAGTGTTATTTAATCTACCAGCAATCCTTCCACAGAGATCAAGAGTAAGCCTAAAGTTAAAAACTGTTGGACAGGACATCGCAAAACCAGAATATTGTTAGCGATTGGTGTTTGGTAGAATGATAGGGTGTGAACCTAAGTCAAACTCCATTGTACTTTATTTCAAATATAGTGGATCGGTTTACTTTGGGCTGCACAGTCTACGAGGTTTTTCCCACAACAGTTGGTCTATTATATCAATTGGGATTTCCTCGCTAAAAATCTTGGTGTCATCTCTCAACTCTATTTGATTTACTTTACTTTTATCTTTCACGTAATTAATTGATTAATTGCTAAAATTAAGTAAAGCTATTTAAAATAGAAAAGACATAAATTTAGATCTTTTTCAAGAAAACTCAAACTTTCCGCAAGTAATCTTCCGTTGCAACAACTCACAGCTGTAAACAAACATGAAAGCTTTCCTTCAACAATCCATGTCGAGTGGCAAATATATCTTTTCAAATTGACATATTTTTAATTTTTATCATCAAATATTTTTTTTCAAAGCTCAAGGACTTAGACAACAATTATTTTCTTCTTGGCGGTGGGTGTTAGGTGGTATTGGCGGATTATGAGGTTTTTAAGAATGTGAAAAGTGTCCTAAGATTTTTGGGACATGAAGATTACTCCTTGTGCTTGTGAGGGACCTAAAAGAATGTCTTAGGATTTTTTATAATCAGAAATTGCTTTTTGAGGTTTTGAAAGGCTAAGAGTGTCTTATGCCCAGTTTGGTTGGAGGGATGAAAAAATGGATGGAATGGAGAAAGAGATGGATGAATGAGGTATCCATAGGGAAGGGAAAGTGTTTCATTCCCTTTTTGTTTGGTTGAATGGAAGGGGATTGATGGATTGATGGAGTGACAGTTGTTTTATTTTTTTATTTTTTTATTTTATTTTTTTTTTATTTTGGAAGGAAGGAAATGATAATTTTTATTTACTTTTAACTAATATACCCTCCCTATATAAAGTTATAAAATTAGATATTAATTTTAAATTATTTAATAATATTGAGCTCTCCATTCCAACAAGTTGTGTCGACCATGACAAGTTGTTTGAGGTGCTTTATTATTATTATTATTGAATGTATGATAAGAAAAATTGTGCAAAGGTACATTTGAATCCTTTTCATGAATTGATCTTTAACGAAGTTTAGTAGTTCATTAAGAATCTATCTTCAATGAACGCACCATTGTTGTTTAACGCAATAGGGTTTTACTGGCAAATTTTTAGGAAAGATAAAAATAAAAATTATAACAAATTTTGGTGGTTATCATTTTTTTCCTCTCCACTCTTCCCCCAAATTTGGGTGGATAGAAAAACATATAGCAAGGGAGGATGTTTCATCCGTCCTTGTTTCCTCCCTCTCTTCCCTTTCTCTAACCAAACATGAAAACATTCTTCTATGCCCCTCCCTCCCCATATCCTTCCCTCTAAACAAACATAGCATTAGAGTTTT